CTGTGGTGGAACTGAGAATAAATCTGTATAATATTATGTGAACAAGATTTGGGGTTGTTGTTATAACAGAATTACTCTACTTGACTAATACACATAGTATAGAGCAGACATTTCTGATATTACTGGGGCTTAGCAGGAGTGAGGAAGAAAGATATAAGTAAGTACTTTAAATAAGGGCTTTCTTTCTAATCCCAGGAAATCTGTGTGAGGAGACATGGAGGTAGAATGGATGGTTATATGGCCATGTTTGAATGTCTCTTGAGTTTCCTCTGTGGCTATTATCTTAGAAAAGAGGAATCACGTTAAATATACTGAAAGGGCTGTTAGGGTATCATTTTTTGCCATGATTCGCCTTTCTGACTCTGAGAGGAGACCTCCTTACCCTGATAAAGGATAGATCATGTCAACCTAATGGGGCACCACATCCAGGCAGAGGAAATCCCTGAAATTTAGTTTTCCCAAGCACCTCTGCTTCCTAACAGGTGTAGACAGAACATGTAGTAGTAGAGACCGACTGGAGAAGAGGCCAGAGGGAGGTGTGATGTAAGATACCTCACAGCACAGGCAGCTGAGGGGATAACCATGATAGGGTCAAATGGAAGTCAAAGCCACAACTCACAGAAATCTGCAGATGGAGCACAAACCCAAATGAGGTCAAAATCGCCTGAGAGCACTAATGGGCTCCAACCCAACTGAGTCAACATCACGAGTTACCTCGCTGCAGAATTCAGCTGTGAACACTTTCAGAGTAAGCCGCACATGAATGGAGAAAAGGCAGAAAAGTTGAGACAGAAAGGCCCTAACTCTTCTCCAGTTCTGGAAAGTTTCATAAGCCATACTTGCGACCAATATCCCCCAAAAATATCACCAGGAAAGAAACAGGGCATGGGAGCTACCTCAGAGGAAAAAAGGCTTACTCAAATGACTACACACTGTAAATAGGCTGTTTAAATTATTAGAATGGATTACACTTTAAACAAAATTGAACACTAAGCCATTTTTTTTCCTACTGAACATCAGGTGGGAGATGGGGAGCTGGCCAGGATCTCGGACTGGGAGGTGTGGATAATGACAAGGTTGGAAGCTCATATGAGTTTAAGACAAAGTATTCCTGTTTTCTTTGTAAATCTGAGTTTTGTTATGAGTTAAATTTGGTGAATCTACTACATATGACTAAAAGAAAAGCAAACTAAACAGTTGCAAACAGTCTGCTAAAACTCCACACACCTCAGAACTCTCTCCTGGGAAAGTCTGGCAGTGACAGATTTCTGTAGATGAATGTCACTCTTTTTCTTTATTCAGCGGTGCCATGTATTCTTTTAAAGTATAATTTCCCCACCTCTATTTTTGTGAAATATAACACACAAGAAGGAAAAATGCATAAAACAGTGCCAGGCTTTTTCATGCTTTCTTCCTGAGCAGGGCCCTGGAAAACTGAGCTTGCCAAGAACAATGTCAGAAACATCAGTTGACTACAGTGATAACAACATACCCAGAAGGCAGGTTGTCTGACAATAAAGTTGCCAAAAAAGAAATGGCTGTACCTGTGGAGATCTTGAGCAGCTCCAGGAAGGTGGTCCATCACCAGTGCGAGCAGCAGAACTCCTTATTCTAACCAGGGGAAGCTTACTGAGGACTCTGAGCCATTTCGCTTTGCTGGGTCACTCCACGAAAGATGCAAGTCCTACACCCTGGAGCAATGAAAGTTTTATCAAGAAGGCAGTAATCACCATCACCACCACTACTAAGCACTTCCCTCTTCATACCAATCTTTAAATTTCACTTTGGTTAGCGATCAAAACCAAAGCCTATCCCATGACACTTGGCCACCAGATATGATTGCATGAGTAGGAAATTGCTACAATAATTAAGTAGGAAAGTGGCTGGTTGCTCTTGCTTTGTGTGGTATTTTTGCATGTTTATACTTTGCATATGCTAAGTTGCTTTAACCAATGTTTGAGGGCTCCAAAATTGCCGACCACAGTTTTAAGTGGTGGTAGGAGAGTCTAAGGTTGAACAGTTCAGAGTTTAACTGTAAAATGGGTTTACATTTTCCACCCACACTAGAACATTTTGGTTCATATCAGATTGTATCTCTTGCCCAGAGGACATGCCAAAGTATTCTTGTTAGGCTGGCAGGGAGAGCACAGAAAGTAAGAATGGAGGTGGGGTGGACAGCCCCTGGGATCCATTGTAAAAGTTTGTGTAAGACCATGTCCTACTCTGGTGAGTGATGCTGACTTGCCAGGTAGTCTTCCCTTTCCTCTATCTTAGAAATATTTTAGGAGGAGAGAGAATTAGGAGAAAACACCATAGACTTTATGACCTCATTCCTTGGTAAAGTATCAAGAGCTGTTTGGGTTCAGGTGTGCTCTTCACTTGCAAAACAACCCACGTCTTGATCACTTTTCTTACTGTTTATGTAGTACGAATTCATTTTCTCCATCAAAGAGCCCGTTAGCTTATTTGGGGCTGGCACACTCAAACCAGGATAGTTCAAGGAGGGTTTAATAGAGGAAGAAAGGTGAGTACAGGGTGTCAGGAGAAAACAGGGGCTGGTACAGTGCCCTGGGAGTAACAGAGCTGCAGATACCACCCGAAGCTCAGAGAAAGCCAAAGAGGACAGTCCTGAAGCTTCTGCTCTATGAACTTTGATAGAGCCAGTTGAAGTGGGGCAGGCCAGATGGAGGGAGAGAGTGCTCTCTTACCTTCTTTGCCCCTCCTGCCAGGGGCCCCCAAAGACGGAGCACAAGCCGAAGCCAGAAGGCTCAGGAGTCCTGAGGAGCTCTGTATGCCCAGAGCATGGTCGAGAGGGTCAGAGAGGGGATCTGGGAGGGGCAAACTAAGGATCCTCAGCACAGACACATTACCCTTTCTCTTTTAAACATAGGGCACCTGGCCTCAGTAACCAGCTGTTTGATTAAGAGGCTGCTCTTGGCATATCAACAGCTCTTTCTCCTTATCTGTATAGCAGCAAGGCACCTACCTGCTTCCAGTCCCTAAGAAAAGGAACGGTTTATATTTATTTAAAGTGCCCTAAAAGAATCTAACTACAGGAATGATTTCAAAGCATAATTCAAACCAAAGCAATAACAGACCCCTAAAAGCCCTGATCAAGAGTCCTAAATAAATTCACCTTCTATAATTGCCAGTACATGTCTATGTCCTCAACTTTATGAACCAACTCCAGGCTCCCGGAGTTTACATCCCTCCCTGATCAATCTTCAGTAAGGAATTTACTTCTCTAATAACACGCTTCTCAACATCAGGCAGGTCCCAGAATGACCATCAAACAGAGGCAATGTGAACAGCTGGGAGTATCTGGTGGTAGTAAACACAGATGTGCCTGACAGGACATTAACTGCTTAGCACATTGATGTAACTGACGTCCCAATGTTCAGCAAAGCTTTGTAGTCCCTGAGATGCTACTGCCTGGGTATAATGATTGCCGTTTCCCATCCGCTCTTTGGTGGTGTTTTCTGCAGCACTGGAAGCAGTGCTTCAGCTCGGTGTTAATTATGAGATCAGCTCAAGGCCTGTGATTTAGAGCCTGGGTGCAGAACTCTTTCAGTAATTCAGTTCCCGTAAGTCAGTGTTATTGGCTCCTGAATGTGGCTGCTTAAGCTAATTAAAAAATAAGCTGAAGAAATTCACTTCTTAAGCAAAATTAAATCTGATATACACACTGACTATTGCACCTTGTCATGTCAATATCTAGCTCAATTCTACTTTTTACTGCTCACTTTTCAGCCTGAGAGTCCCATTTAAAACAAATGTTTGGATTATTGAACAGACAGAATTGGCCTTTTTGAAAATGTTTGGTTCTAAAACAACTTGGATAAAGTATTGAAGTATAAACAAGATTTTTAATGTTCTTCCGTGGCATTATCAGTCAACCAACATCATTGTTAGATGACAAATGACAGTCTCTCAGTAAAATGGGAATAATCCTTCAAATAACTTGTCCTTGCATAAGAAAGTGGTATTGTTGGACCTGATAGGCATGAGAAAACAGCATTGATGACGTGATGAGGAGTGACTATAGCTCTACCCTGTCCTACCCAATCTACCTAACACCAATGTCATGGATATTTGCAGTGTTGGCTGGTAAAATTAAGAGCAGGCTTTTGCAAGAAACAAAGTCTTTAAGTTTTTTAACCCAAACAAACAAACACATAAAACAATTGCCACCTAGTTTCATATCAACATGCTCTGTGTCTCTGCATGTCTAAGCTTCCAGATCTAATGGAGAAAAATCTCTGGGCGTGGTCACTTGCTAACATCTCTTGTTAGCCATCTGTCTTGTTAATCTGCATTCTTCAGGCACAGGCTATCCTGACCAATGAAATCCACCACTGCTTACGAAAATCTCCTGAATAGCCTCAGACTACTGTTAATCGGTAAGAGTGTCACTCACATAAAGCCCCTTGCAAAAACCTTGAAAAATTTGAGTACTATCTTCTGTTAGAGAATTGCTAGTCAGGATGGTAGGAGGTTTTATCTCTTGGCCGTTCTGATTATTCAAAGCAGTTATCTGGAGTAATAGTCTCAGAGGGAGTTTGGGGTGAGTCTCAGGTTCATCGGAAAAGAAGGCAGGATTGGCTGGGTGGTCCTAAGGCTGGGCCATTGCATCATCCCTTCATCTGTCAGCCTCTACTCTCTTTTCCAAGCACTGAGACACACGAATGTTTCTTGAAGTGTAGCTGTGTTTCACAGACCATACATGTGATGATTTTATTATAATGATTATATAGGTATAATGTACATACATATACATTATATATAAAAAATATAACTTAGCACATAAAAATCTGGAAGAATTAACCAAATTTGGCTAAGTTTGAAAAAGTAATTTAATCTTTATTTTAAAAATACCTAAGTTTATAGTTGTGGTAAATATGACAAAATCCTATAGTCAGAAAATCAATCATTTAACTTTCAAAAAATTATGCTAGACTATAGGGTTCCAGAGATAAATATAAGCTGGTCCTTACCCTTGAGGAACTTGAGTTTTTTTCTTTTTCTTCTTTGATTTCAACCAATTTTCACTCTCACTTGGGTATCAGCTATGGTTTTGAGGTGAGTCAGCTTAGTCAACCACTAGCGTTCTTTGGTTCCCAATAATATGGCAGCTTTTTGAATCCTTAAATGTTGCAGGTCCTGGAAGAGAAGAAATGTAATGTCTGTACCTGGTCCAATGATTGACTGGTTCCGGGGATTGGTCCTCAGTCCCCAGAGAGTGGAGTCACAGCAGTTATCATTCTAAAGCACTCTCAGTAGGCCACTGTGATAAGTTACTAATTTAAACTGGAAATTCTAACCATTAAGTAGTTTGGAATAGCTGAGTCAATCCATCAGGGTACTCTTCCCATTGGGGAAAGTAAATTAAGATCTGAAGCCTGCTACGTGATTAAGGAACCAAAACACAAGGTATTGAGTGGTTTTAAGAGTTTGATTCCACGAGATTTCTTAGAAGTTAGTTGTTTGATTTGAAACTTTCTTTCATATATAATATATATATATATTTCATATATTTTATATATATAATTTTTTCTCTTATACCAACTGGAGTTTATCATGTAGTTATTAACTCAGGTTAATCTAATGAATAGTTCTCTTTTTTAGAGGAAATAGAGTTATACATAGTTGTTTTTTTTTTTAAATAATAGCATTTAGTTCCAGTGGTGTGGAATAACATAAGCTTTAATTCAACTTCAGGAGGCCCACCTGATCCTGGAGATCTTGGATGTTGTGACAGGAGGGAAGTTGTGTGGTGTGCAGGAAGAGACTGGTAAGGAGATAGGCTGGGATGCTAATAATGAAACCAGTGTGGTGGAGATGATGGAGTTACAGCAATGGTGTGAGGATAGCCGTAAATGCCCCACCAGCCCTTCCCTGATCTCTTACAGGACAGCAATTCAGTAGGAGGTAAGGGTGCAATGGGTGCTGTCCTAGGCAACAGAGGGCAAAGGGAACAGGGAAACAGAGAGGCAGGAGATCCCAGTGAAGAAGTTTGGGGCAAGATTTGAGACCTGGGGCTGGCTAAAGATACTTTGAGTTCTTAAGCACAAAAATAAATACTTGCCCCTGCATACTCTGACATACCATGTGTTGTTAAACATAAGACAAGAGTAATATGTGAAACCGGTAAAAGATGCCCAGAAAAGTTATATTTTTTTTATCATAGCTATATCAATTCCTTTTAAAAAAATACAAAATATAAACTATATCCAAAAAAAGCACATGCTTGGTTTGACTTTCAGGTGTTCAATAATGCTAGTCTGTAAGTATTCAGGATAATTCTGACTACTCAAAACTCAACTAATTCAGTTCTGTGAGCATAAGGTCTGCCCTTTGGTTTACCATCACGTACCCAACAGGTGAAGTGTTCTGAGCACTGTAGGAAATAATAAATATTTGTAGATGGAGGGGCTGACAGATTAAATCTATCCTATACGTATTGAAGGAAACTTTTACCAACTCATACCCATCCAGTTGGGGTGGAGAGCAAAGAAGGGATATGCTGTCCAGCTCACTACAAAGACTACAAGGTCAATAATGCACCTTGTTATCTACAGCTTTTGATCTTTTAGGTTTCATGCTTCTGAAATATTTACATTATTTTCTGATATCAGCCCCTACTTGCCACCTGGTTATCCTTTATTAAATTAGTTTTAATCTGACTATGTCTGGTATTTGCTTTCCTGTAGCTATCTTTCTTCCTGTTACATGGCTGGCTCTGGGAGAGGGACAGATAAGGTTATCTAATTTACAGCAGTCTTACCAGAGCCTGGGGCAGAGCAAAGGATCAATAGACAGTTGTTGAATACATAGATGATGGCTGTCTTCTTATTTCCTTCCCCCTTTTTCCCCCTGCTGGAGTCCTCTAAATAAGATGGCCATAAACTCTGTCATTTACTTAGAGTGGAAGGAGGTGCTACTGATGATTATACCAGGACAAAGTCAGAATATGAAACTGTCCCACCCACGCTGTGACATAAGATACTCTGCTTTCAAAGGTCTCTTCCATTTATCCCCACCCCCGCCCTGACCAAGGCTTTCTCAGTGATAATGGGCAAACCAGTTTTAGATCAAAGATGTCAGGGATCAGAAAATTTCATTATTGCTTTTATAGCAAGCAGCTTGCCAGTAAGGCTTGTCTTCCTCCCAAGACCTCAACAAGTTCTCTTTCCGGCTATTTATGCTTTGTTTTGCTTGTTTGTTTGTTTTGTTGTTTTTAAGGATCTGTTGTTCTTAGGTCTAGCTTTCTGGGTGATTCAGAATTTCTTTATCCTAGACAGTCTTGCTACCTGGTTCTCATTCCCTAACCATCCTGCTTGGTTTTTACGGACTTTCTGTTTCAGGCACTCTTCTGAGTTAATTATCTGGCTTCTGTGATTCTCCCCCACTCCCTTTGGAACTCGTGTTGGCAACTTCTAGCATTTTCTTGACAAGCACCAGACAACAACGATGCAGATGAGCCAGCCTGGATTTTGGCTGAAACTCTCACCCCTCAAAAGTGACGTGGAAGCTTCCCTACTGCTCCCTCCTGCCTTATATCTTCCCCAGGTCTCAACTTGGGACTTGGAGAGCAACACTCTCATCTTTAAAATGGAATGCAGACCAGTACTTATCAAGTAAGGTGGCTTTCTTTATAATGGCTACCAGTCATGTAGCAGAAATCAGAAAAAAAAATCCATCAGATTAACATTGTATGGATGATTGGGGAAATTTTTAAAGCAAGTATCATGAAGAAGAGAAAGTCTGTAGTTCCCTTGCTCTGGGTACTTCTCGAGAGCTCTAGCTCCATTCTGCTAGACACAGAATGGATTTTTGTTCCTGTTGTTCTCTATTCTTACAGGGTAGGCACAAGAGTGATGTTGTTAATAGGGGTGCAAGCAGAATGTGAGGTTGCCTGGCAGTCTGAGTTTACATCGCAGCTGTTTACAAGAGTTGTATGGGAAATACAGCTTCTAGATCTAGGGATCTTTCTGCCTATGGGAAATTGCCATCGGTCCCATTAGGGCAAGGAATTCCCTAGATCCATGGGAGGTTGAGTTGTGAGCACTGATTAGAAAACAAACTGCAGATAGTGTGATATTTACATCCCCTGTGAATCATGCTATACATGGAATCAGTCAGCATGACTAGAACTTATAAGTTTCAAATAAAAAGACAACTAAACCTAGATGATTTCAATCTGAAAAACACATTCAGGAGTTAGGCCTTCCTGTGGTTTTATTAGAAAGGAAATTCCATTGCTCTCTTGATTCCCTTTTAATAGACATAGTGATAAAAGTAAAATGGAAACGAAAGATGATGGATGGCCAATAGGTACTTTACTCAATGACAGAAAACAAGACATACAAATAGAAATATTAATCAACGCTCTGAGCTTAGCTGAGGTGCTAAGCTGTGGAATGTAATACATCCCACAGCTTAATTATTATTTTTATGGATATAGTGGCCCAACGCACTCCAGGCAATTGCATCAATAAAATCTTCTGCTAGAGTGGGTTCGGCACAGGGTTATGCTACTTTTCTGTCCAGCGAACAGCTTTGGATTTATTGGATTCATGCTAATATTTTCAGCAGTGTGTCCTGTATCGTCTTCATTTTCTTTCCTTTTTTTTTTTTTTTTTTCAATGCACAGCTGAAGACACCTGCATTCAATTCCCAAGCTGGACTTTAGTTTTGTTCTGGAGATGTGCCTGCTCACACCAAAAAATATGTCAATTGAACTGAGCCTTGTGAGGCTGCATAAAATCAAGCTCACTACAAAAATAAATTGGCTGAAACAAATGCTTTCATCAGAAATGTCACTACTGAACAAGAAATAAAAGAGATTTTCTTTTTCTCTTGGGAAAGACTAGTGGATTACAAAGAATTTTTATCCTGATGTTAAATTTTAAACACAATTTTTCCACAGAGAGCATTTGCTTAAGGCACACAAGAAGGGAAACTAAAATTTCTCTTGTCCAGCAATGAATCTTCAGAAAAATAATTTAATTTAATGTAATGCCGTACTTCGTAGGAAACAAACAAACAAAAAACAAACAAACTACTGCAGGGGAAATCATGCCAGAGAGTTTCTTTTTCCCTCTGGGTTGTCATATTATCAACTGCTGTCACTAATTACATTATGTCTCCTTACTTTGCAAGGTGAGATTCTTTAGGCTAGCTCCTAAGGATGATAAAATAAATGCTCATAGGTCATGAAGAACTTGAGAAAATTACGGAAATTCAAAGAACGAGGCCTTCCACTTTTCCTCAAGACATTTTTCTACACACACCTAAACAGCATTAAAACATTGACTTCCCGTAAACAGAACTGTGTCTATTATTGTCAGTTTTCAAATCCTGACTCAATCAGGGAAACAAATTTGAAGCAAAATGTTATCCTTACATTTGGTATTTTTTTTTTCAATTTCCTTTCTAAAAATGTTCAATAAAATTTATTCTGAGATGCAAAAATTTTAATTTTCATCTCTCTGGTTTTTCATTGATATGTGTTTCCAAACTATGGTTTCAGCAGATATAATTAAAAGATGATATCAAATGAACTATAAATGGTACAAATTTTTAAAGAAATGCAATGGTAATCTTGTATATCAGAGCTGTGTCTGTGCAACTTACAAACATACAGATGTAAAGAAAAAATGTTCCACTATCCAGATGTTAACTCTAAAATAACTTTAAATTTGGGATGTTTTGTCTATACTGTGCTAACCAGCCCAGTGTTTCTGAATATATGACTGTTCATACTGTGTAGACAAAACAGATGGATAATCTGACAGCACCATTCATTTTTTGGTATCCAGATGTTCTGCCATCATGGTGGTAAAGCCCTTCCACTGTCTTTAACAGTTGATACTTGATAGAAACTTCAAATCAATTTACTCATTACATTTGGTGGTTTTCTCTGAGAAAAAACCTTATTTTTTTAAACTTTCTGATTATTTAGCCATTATTATTCTGAATAAGTAGTTAATCTGACACTGAGTAGCTTATTACGTACTGTTAAAATGTTAATGGAGAAAGTAAGGCATAATACACACACAAACATCACGTCGTTTTTTATTTCATATATTAATCCTATGCTGTTAATTCTTTTATGTGTTAGTGATTGGAGATGACACTCTGGTACAAAAATAAAA